TAAAGAAAAGATGAAGCCTAAAACAGAATCCTGAGATACACCAATATTTGAAGAAAGGTAACAGCAAAGGAAGATATCAAAGAATGGTCAATGAGGTAGGAGAAAATCTAAGAGTAGCATTTACTGAAGGGAATAAAAGACACCGCTTCAAGAACGAAGAGGCTGTCAGCTGTGCTAAATGCTTCAGACATACGGAGTTAATTATGGACATAGAACTGTCCAATGGATTTTGCTACATGGAGGTCAATGACTATGCTGATAATCAGTTTCAGAGAAACCCAAACCAGAACTGAACTATACAACCTCATGAAAATCAACTGAAAAACTCTTTAACTTAATGAGCTAGTTAAGTTGGCCTTTTACAAAATAAATATATAATTATTAATATCAGCTACATAAAGTTAAAAAGCTATAAACAAACAAAAAAAAGAAATATAATTAGAAAGAAAAAAAAATCCATTCACAATTACATAAAAATCTAGGGATAAAAAAAGAAATATGTAGAGATCAACAAAAAGAAAATACTAAACTTTGCTGAGATAGAAAAGATGTTTAAATAAAGAGGTGTCAAACTAGAAAGATTGACTACTTTAAATTCATTAGTTCACATTCATTCAACACACATTTATTAAATGCCTATTTCTAAGATTCTAGGCAAGCAAAATACATGAAGACCAAGGCCTTGTCCTATTTTATTTCAATGGAAATATTGCTAATATTTTGTCATTAAACATGAGTAGGGTGTTGATTAGTATAAGACTTCCATTAAAGCATCTTAGTTATCAAGTGCTGCTGTAACAGAAATACCACAAGTGGATGGCTTTAACATACAGAAGTTTATTCTCTCACAGTCTAGTAGGCTAGAAGTCCAAATGCAGGGTGTCAGCTCCAGGGGAAGGTTTTCTCTGTTGGCTCTGGAAGAAGGTCCTTCTCATTAATCTTCCACCTGGACTAAGAGCTTCTCCGCACAGGAACCCCATGTCCAAAGGACGCACTCTCCTCCCGGCATTGCTTTCTTGGTGGTATGAGGTCCCCTTCTCTGCTCATTTTCCTCTCCTTTTATTTCTTGTAAGATAAAAGGTGGTGCAGGCCACACCCCAGGGAAACTCCCCTTACATTGGCTCACGCATTCGACCTGAGCAAGGGTGTTACATCCCACTTTCATCTTCTTTACCATAATCTAATCTTGCCTCATTAACCACAAGCAGAGATTAGGATTTACAATGCATAGGAAAATTATATCAATCACAAAATGGAGGACAACCACACGATACTGGGAATGGTGGCCTAACCAAGTTGACACGTTTTGGGGGGACACAATCCAATCCATGACAGTATCTTTCTATTAATATGTATCTAATTTTCCTTTCTTTTAAAATCAGGAATGAGAATTTTATCAAAAACCTTGTTTTTCCTCCTTTGAACTACTGATGTTCTCTATTAGTATATTTCCTAACATTAATCCATTACTGAATTTCCATGATTAATTTTCTATTGTGGTAGATTCTTTTAATTACTGTTGACTTTGGTAGGTTAGCATTTTGGGGGATTTTCTGCATTTATATTGAAATGTGCATTTAACCTATACATTTTTAATGATTCTTTTCTAGCAGAGGAATGGGCTCATACAATGAATTCAGTAGCATTCCAAACTTTAGGTCTGTTTCACAGAAATTTTAAAGAATTTATGGATAAATTGTATGGCTCTGGATTCTTTTGGGAAGGTTTCTTAAAAATGTTTTCAGTTTCTTCCATGGTCTATTTAAACATTCTCTCTGTACTTGATTTAAGTTTATTAGTTTATATTTCCCAGGGGAAAAAAATGTCAAAATTTTTTTGCTATACAATGGTATTTTCTTATTTATTTACAGCCACCTCCATGTGTATTACTTCACCTTTTGCAATCCTAAATTTTTTTTTTCCTTCTTGGTTAGATTTGTTAGAGATTTTACTCATAGGAGGGGCTAGGGTAATGAACCAATTATTCAATCTATTTGTCAATTTTGTTCTCTTTTCCAATTCAGTCTTCTACATTTATATTTTTTCTTCCCATTTTCCTTAGGTTTGGTTTGGGTTTTTCTCTTACTCATCAGGCAAATGCCAATTTTATTCTCTTAATTTTTATAAACACATTGTTTTTGTTGTGTGACATCAGGTCAGTTTTTGACTCATAGTGACCCCATGTGACAGAGTAGAACTGCCCTATAGGGTTTTCTAGGCTATAATTTTTATGGGAGCAGATCACCAAGTCTTTCTTCTGTGAAGCCACTCAGTGGGTTCAAACCGCCAACATTTCAGTTAGTAGCTGAGCACTTAACCGCTGCACCACCACATAGCATTAAGAATTTGTCACTAAGTAAGTTGGTAAACAGGCTTCAAACCTGAGACTGCAAAGAGCAGAAGACAGAACACTTCCAGAGTTGTGCAATGATAGTGAAAATTTCTTCGAACCTCATGTTTTATCTTTTAAGAAACATGTAGTTGGTTACTTTCCCCCATGTTTTTTAATATAAAAAATAAATTTCCTCAAAATATTCAAGCAAAGTTAATTGACAACTGCAGAGGAAGATGAGTCATGCTTATTTAGCAGTTATCTCCCATAGCACCTTCACACAGCCCCAGGAATAAACATACCCAATACAACTTTGGTTATCTCCCATTAGCCAAGATGTCCATTTTAGTCTAGTCAGTTTTACTTCTACATTGAGAAAATGCTGTTTTGGTCAAAAAAATCAATTTTGTCAGGTAGAGAAAATGTACAAATGTCTAGGTCATCTAAAAATATCTCTGACTAAAAAGGAAAAGGCAGAGTAAACCTAGCTTTTACTTTTAGATTCTGATATAGCTCTGGGTGTGTTTCATTATATATCGAATATTCTGCTCAGGCATATTAATAACAATACAAATTATTTTCATTTTTAAATGATTAGGTGTTTCTGGTTTAAAATTGTATTAATAATTTCTGGATATGTTGTGGTGTGGACAGCATTTATGATTACATAATCCTGCTTTCAAGAATTTCGACACTTTCTCTAGCCTAATGATTTTGCGTAACTGTTCTCTCACACTTTAAAAGATCTATTCTGTCTAAAAGGCATCAAATTTCACTTATTAAGCCAACTTTACTAATTTTTCATTTTTCTATTTCCTTATCTTTAGTTGCTCCAACTTCTAAAGACTAAGATGTATATTAACATTTCACATACCAATTCCAATTTCCTTTATTTGTTCCTTTTTTTTTTTGACCTTAAATTGTTTGAAATTAATATTGCTAACCCTGCTTTAGGAGTTCCTGGGTAGTGCAAATGGTTAAGTGCTAACCCAAAGATTTGCAGTTCAAATCCACCTAGAGTCACCTTGGAAGTAAGGCTTGGTGATCTGCTTCCAAAAGATCACAGTTTTGAAAACCCTATGGGTAGCAGTCCTACTCTGTACATGTGGAGTCACCATGAGTCAAAAGTGACTTGATAACAACCACCACCAACCGAAACATTTATTTATCTTTGCCTAATAAGACTTTGTCTACTTATAGTTATTCATTTTGATTCCTATTCATTGGCACCTCCCATTAAATGATTTGCAAACTAACTGCAGTACATTTTCAATAAGTTTACTTTATAAGACACTTGGGTGTTCTTACGTTATTTTCAATTGTTCTACACACCTGCTGCTATTCACAAGGTTTTCACTGGCTAATTTCTTTAGAAGTAGATTGCCAGGTCCTTCTTCCTAGTCTGTCTTAGTCTGGAAGCTCCACTGAAACCTGTTCACCATGAGTGACTCTGCTGGTATTTGAAATACTGGTGGCATAGCTTCCAGCATCACAGCAACATGCAACTTACCAAAGTACAACAAACTGATGGACCTCTTTTAAGTGTTAAAAAGCAAAGATGTCACTTTGATGGCTAAGGTGTGCCTGACCTAAGCCATGGTATTTTCAATTGCCTTATCCACATGCAAGAGCTGGACAATGAATAAAGAAGACCGAAGAAGAATCGATGCCTTTGAATTATGGTGTTAGTGAAGAATATTCAATATACCATGGA